ACAACAATACTCGGTTCAATTCTAGCCCAAACAATAATGTTTGGACACAACCGAACAATACTTACCAAAACAGGGGTGAACCAGTGGAAGTGGACGCCAGCATCCAACTCCAAAATAGAAATAATAATCCTTTTAACCAAACATTTGCAAGATTATCCAACCAGTTATCCAACCCGTGAAACCGGGCCACTTATGGAATTTATAAACAATTTTCAAAATTCAATCTAAGCGATCTTTGCCTCTGCCTTTGCATTTGCCTTTGTCTTTGTCTTTGCCCTTGTCTTTGGCTTTGGGGCCCGCTCTTGGTATCCCAGCCAAGATAAACAAACCAAACTTAAAGGACTTCCGCTCGAAACCCAATCAATTGCGTTGCAAGTTCAAACTATTGCGATTCAAACCCAAACAAATTGAATCGGTCAGCATATTTTAATTTCTCAATAGGATGCCATGATTTCATCCCAAGCTTTTATTCTAAAGCAAGGAAAAGTTCTTGAAGCTCAAAGAAAAGCTTCTGGCCGAGGTTCGTTGGATAAGGTTTTAGAATTAAGCTGGCAGTCCATTTTGGATCGAGAAAGAGATCGGAAGTTCGGAATCCGAATGTTTTAAATAAAGTGTCTTGTATTAGTGAAATAAAATTAAAAGGTTTAACACCAAGTTCGAATAAGTAAACAATATATTTTTTTACTAAAATTACCAGTGACAATATTAATTTGTACATGTGTGGGGTGCGAATAGCGGAATAACGTTGCGGGAATTGTAAAGACTTCTCTTATGCTTGTTTGTCACCTGCACAACTAAATTGCAAACGATTTGCTTGAGTAAATTTGTGGATATTGTAACATTCTTTCCAAAGATTTTGAAATCCGGCTTCGACTGAACCAAAATGTTGGGGCGGGCGGCTTGGTCACTGAAATAGGTGAAGTCCCAAGAACGAAGGGTACGCAAAAAACACGATACTTTGGGGTTTTTACGCGACGTGCAAAGGTGTTTATTGGTACACTTGGAAATAAGAACTGCTTAAGCCTGTCTTAACTTAAGCGCTCCAGAGCGGAGCGGTGACATATGGGAGAGATGGAGAGGGAGAGCGGACGGCAGTGCAAGCGCGCGAGATGTAGACATCTGGATAAAACCGCCGCTCGACACTGCCTCCTGAAATTAAACGCCCTTTTGATGTAAACAATAGGAAATAAAACAAGGGAGAACGCTATAGTCGAGTACCTCGACTATCAGATACCCGTTACTCAGCTAAATGGAGATATGCAAGCAGCAAAGCGAGATTAAAATGCGCCACCTACCGGCGGTATACAGATTTAAACGTTATGGGCGTTAGAGTGGGCGTGGCAAATTTTTTTTTGGATCAATCGATAGGTATTGACGAGACCAATACATTTCACTTAAAAGTTTTGATCTAGCATACAAATTGTGGGCGTCACAGGGTTTTGCGGTTTGTGGGCGTTAAAGTGGGCGTGGCAAACTTTTTTTTGGGTCAATCGATAGGTATTGATGAGAGCATTACATTTCAGTTAAAATTTTCTATCTAGCATCAAAACTGTAGGAGCCACAGTTTTGGGCGGTTTGTGGGCGTTAGAGTGGGCGTGGCAGTCTACTGAAACAAACTTGCGCTGCGTAGGAAGCTCAGGAATCTGCACGCCAAATCTCAATAGCCTAGCTCCCACAGTTTCCGAGATCTCAGCGTTCATCCGGACAGACGGACAGACGGACAGACGGACAGACGGACATGGCTAGATCGACTCGGCTAGTGATCCTGATCAAGAATATATATACTTTATGGGGTCGGAAACGCTTCCTTCTGCCTGTTACATACTTTCCGACGAATCTAGTATACCCTTTTACTCTACGAGTAACGGGTATAAAAATACCGGTCCTCAATCTATTTATTCTAGATACTTAAGGGTTTGGGATAGTTTTACCGTGCTTAACTTTCTGTGTTACAAAAACTATTTAAATCGTTGTAAGGTCCATTTCCGACCGATCAGGCAATAGCCGTTCTGTTTTCCAAGCTTTTTCAAACGACATATTCTACCTTACCTCATTCTTCACAGCCTTATTCTTACACTGTATCCAAGTCTTATTTAATATTCTGACCCACCTTAAACGAAAGCTCTCTACTTGTTGGTCTTCAACGTGTTAAGCACGTTTATTCACCTGGTCCCAATGGAGTTCCTGGCTGCGTGCTTAGATATTGCGCGGAGGCCTTATGCAAGCCCCTTTTTAAATTGTTAACCCTATCTTAACAATCTTCACAATTTCCCCATATGTGAAAGGAATCGTGAGCAAATCCTCTCCATAGGACGCGTAGCGAAGTGGAAGCAAATAATTATAGAGGTATCTCTAAATTATCAGCGACCCCAAAGCTCTTTGAAAATTGTATTACTCTATAGGTAGATATATCTCCGTTTCAACACGGGCTTATGACACGTAGATCAACAATCACTAACCTTTTGGAACTTACATCATTTGTGATAAAGGGATTTAAAAAACATCTTCAAGCAGACGTCAATTTCACTGACTTTAGTAAAGAAATTGACCCTCTAAGTTCTGTTCTTCTGGTTAGAAAACTGTTGATCTTTCAAAATGGATATATATGGATTATATGAATTCCAGAATAGAAGAGTACTTTTTAAAAATTATTTCTCTCGTCTACTCCACGTTACCTCTGCAGATGATGTTAAATTATGCCTGCAATACAAGGATACTTCTTGCCAGTCCAATTTACAATCCAATTTAAATAATTTTCAAACAATTTACTGGATATAAACGGCTCTAAGTGTAGTGACTTTTTGTCGTGTGAGTCCTCAATATGCAATATAGACGCTGAGTGAGGGCTCATTGGATAGAATAACTCTCGGTATGTATCATGGTGTTTTGTTGGACCCAAGACTAAGGTTTGCTGATCACATCTCGTCCATGGTGAGTTAAGCTAGGGGTGCTCTTGGCGTTATTAAAAGGTGGTCAAAGGAGTTAAGATCCTTATATAACTAAGACCTTATTTATTTCGCTTGTCCGCCCGATACTTGAGTATGGATCACCCGTCAGGAGTCTGCAATACGGAATTCATGTTGATCGTATCAAATCTGTACAGAAGAACTTTTTACTATTTGCTTTAGGTAGGCGCCTGGTATGCAAACCTTATTTTACCTTCTAATTCTAATTACCTAACCCTCCCTAGTCAACCGCAGAACGATGCTTGGAACAGTCTTTATTTATAACCTTATTCGGGGTTAAATGTATAGCCCCGACTTGGTTATCCAGCTAAACTTTTCTGTTCCATGCAGATTAACAAGAAATTTCATTCCCCTAATTTTAAATCATTGTAGATCTTTCAGAGTATTATGTTCTGATTACAATTGACTTTATCCTATTATCACAAAATTTGACTATCTGCCTCTCCTAAGACGATTAATATTAAATGTTTTAACACAGATTTAGATCCTACTTTTTTTCCTCGAACTTTATCTTTATTTTTCTACGCGTCTATCATCTCTCGGATTCATGCCGCACGACACAAGGCAGCGCCCCTCGGTTGATTAGGCGGGAGGTGTGGCTTTGGGATCCCACGCTTAAAAAAAAGAATATTTATACCCGTTACTCGTAGAGTAAAAGGGTATACTAGATTCGTCGGAAAGTATGTAACATGCAGAAGGAAGTTCAGAAACTCTTCCTTTTTACCATATAAAGTATAAAACAAGGAAGAACGCTATAGTCGAGTACCTCGACTATCAGATACCCGTTACTCAGCTAAATAGAGATATGCAAGTAGCAAAGCGAGATTAAAATGCGCCACCTACCGGCGGTATACAGATTTAAGCGTTATGTGCGTTAGAGTGGGTTTTTACTCTACAAGTAACGGGTGTAAAAAGCTGATCGGGGGTTTCAAGGACTTTTCTTACTTATTATACCCTCGCAGAGGGTAATATGATTTCAGTCAGAAGTTTGTAACGCAGTGAAGAAACGTTTCAGACCCCATAAAGTATACATATTCTTGATCAGCATGACTAGACAAGTCGATCTAGCCACGTCCGTCTGCCCATCTGTTCGCCCGTCTGCGCAAACTGGTCTCTCAGTTTTAAAGCTATCGGCCTGAAACTTTTCCAAAAGTCTTCTTTCCTTTGCAGTAGTAGTATATAAGTATAAGGACAACTATATCTTATAGCTCGTTTAGGAATAATCGGGAAAAAAATGTAAAAAAATTATATCTGTGGTGTTTAACATATATCCTCCTACGCTTGGAAACTACATTTTTTAATTAGTTCTGAATTTCGTATTTAATTTTGTCAAAATCGGACGACTATATCATACAGCTGCCATAGGAAGAATCGGAAAATTGGTGGGAAAATAATATGAATCAAATTATAGCTTCGGTGTTTTTTGACATATTTATCTTATAATAATGGGAATATCATTTTTTCTATTTTTAAGAACTTCGAATTGGATTTAATAATAAGACCTGCAAGGGTATACGAACTTCGGCTTGCCGAAGTAAACTTCCTTTCTTGTTATACCCTTGCTGAGGGTATTATAATTTCAGGGTATTTCTGAATTTCGAATTTAATTTTATCAAAATCGGACGACTATATCATATAGCTGCCATAGAAACGATCGGAAAATTGGTGGGAAAATAATATGAAACATTTCCTTTAAACCCTGAGTTTAAAATTTATTCAAATCTTATATTTAAACTAAATCATAGTCAGAAACGTAAAGTGGCCTCCTGGACCAAAGAATATATTTAATATTTGGGAGGGTCTCTGTGGCCGATGTGATAGATAAATGTGGGGTTTAGTTTAGAGCTTACTCCCGCCCCCCCTATTCTTTTTGGTTGCACATGGGAATTGTGACGGCTCGCTGTCCCGAGATGGTGATCCGGAACCGGTGACCCCCCGCGTGCAGAAAGAAACGGACCCGTGTGCGTTCATGCTGAAGAACGAACTGGACTAGAGTCGGGGGTAGTCGGCGGTCGTGCGTGTCCACTCGCCATGCTAGGGGGGCAACGACCCAGTGGACTGGGTCTCCCTGAGACCATCGCCTTCTAACGAGGAATCGTCGGCCGAGTCGGCCCTTCCGGTATCTTGATCCATCTCAACAGACCAATCCAAGTGTCCTGGTGACCAGGGTGTTCGCGGAGTTGGACTGCGAACCGGGTCGTAATGATCCGTATCACCAATCGAGGAGAGCGTTTCGTCGCTCCGGTCGGGAATGGCATCGTTGGGAGCGTTTCTATCGCCGCTGCTCTCGAAGATGTCCCAAGCAGCGCTCGCTGCCCTGACAGCGTCGGCTAGGGGTGGTCGATATCCTCCCATGCCAAAGCGACCATCGCCGTCAGACGATGTCGAGTCGGTCCATTCGGTGCTTTGAAACTCCTCAACGCAACTCTCCAAGAGTCCTGGTGCGAAGGAGTGGTGGTTTTGGGTGCGCAGCCAGGAGGTTACCCACCAGTGAGCCGAGTCGGTTACAGGTGCGATGTCGTCTTCGACCCTCAGCCTTGGCAGTCGCCCTAAGTTCAGTGCGGTTTCCTCGTTGTACTCTTCCTCGCTGTGGTCTCCTATCGGTGATATCTGGCCCGGGTGCACGAAAGGTTGGGTTGAATCCGAATCGTAATTTCGGGAACTCATCCCCGGGCTATCGGGACTTGTGGGCTCGTTGCTCGCTGTCGAGATTCTTCCTCTGGGTTCCTCGTCTTCATTCCTACGCAATGCTATGCCACACCCCGTGGGGCTGTATCGCGGTGACGTGGTAATGTCCAGAACCGACGACACGTCGGAGTTATGCATGCTGTCACTGCTGTTGCTCAATGTATCCCCATCGTGGTCGATGGGCGGAGAAAGGCCATCCTGATTCATCCTAGGAAAGTACATAAAGAGGAAAAGTTGTATATTATACATCGTTATATATAGTTAATAACGTATTAAAATTTAAACAAGGAAGAACACTATAGTCGAGTACCTCGACTATCAGATACCCGTTACTCAGCTAAAGGGACAAAAGAGAAATGGGGATATGCAAGCAGCAAAGCGAGACTGAAATGCGCCACCTACCCCTGATCTCAATATATGGTTATGTGGGCGGTAGACAGACTTAAGCGTTATGGGCGTTAGAGTGGGCGTGGCAAACTTTTTGGGTCAATCGATAGGTATTGGTGAGAACAATACATTTCAGTTAAAATTTTTATTGTAGCACCAAAACTGTATGAGCCACAGTTTTGGGCGGTTTGTGGGCGTGGCACGCTGCTGAAAGAAGCGTTGCGCTGCGTAATAAGCTCAGGAATCTGCATGCCAAATCTCAATAGCCTAGCTCTTATAGTTTCCGAGATCTCAGCGTTCATCCGGACGGAGAGACAAACGAACAGACGGACATGACTAGATCGACTCGGCTAGTGATCCTGATCAAGAATATCTATACTTTATGGGGTCGCAAATGCTTCCTTCTGCCTGTTACATACTTTCCGACGAATCTAGTATACCCTTTTACTCTACGAGTAACGGGTATAACAAGATTTAATTGTCTATTTAGTTAATTACGTTTTAAGCTTACTTGCTCTACTGATAATTCTAACAGACCATCAACAAAGTCATGGACGTCATGGTCAAAGTGAGTCAATGGAAGGGGACCAAAAAATTTCAGGGAGATTAAAATCGCCCAAAACAATCAAGATGTACTTGTCGGAAAGATGAGATAGAACATTTTTTATTGCAGTCAAATGGTGCTCACAAATTATTAAGTCGGATCCAGGTGGAATATAAGAACAGGTTACAAAAATAGGTGAAGATTGCAAACAAAAATTTAACACAAGCCAATTAAATGTCGTTGGTTTTAATAAAGTATATTCTCTCCGATGTTTGACTATTGGTAACGGCAATCAGTTGGGAAGACTTTTAGAATTTAGTATATTAAATATTTCTGGAGGAGCAGATCCTTTAAATGAAGTTATATTACTAGCATAAGAATATTTAAACTCTTCCACTATAATGTTTAGCGATGGTAATTTTTGGTGTATAAATTTCAAAACATTTGCAGATAATTGTTTCCTATATAGAACAACAGAGAGTCTCTTTCTTCCTCCACCAGCAATCTAAACATCGTTTGTCTGACTATCGGGACCAGGGACTCTTATAGAGCTTACTTCTCCTGTAGGCACAAAAAGTAGTGTTTACCCCTTAGACTGACTAGCAGAACCAGGGACTTTTCCAGAGCTTTCAGTACTTATGGGCACTGCCGGCAGCGAAGCTTTAGACCCCCCAGCGGCAGTGGATGCCGACATAGCTGCCGAAACCGATCGGGTAAAAATGCTGAGTCCCTCCTCGCTGATCAGAGGTCCTAAATACACTTGTCTGTCATCACCTGGTTTAACAGTAGGTTGGCTCCAAGGCGTGATCCTTTCAAGTCGTACCGATATTGTTTAGTCATCCAAATGGAAGAACTCGTTCAGTTCCAGGTCTGGTTCGATGACGCTGTTGAGAGTACAAAATGGAAAGGGCATATCCTTCAAAAGACTTCGACCATTTTACCAAGTTCGTATGGGTACAGCCGATCTGGAAGGCCACCGCGGGAGAAGTCGAAAGCTTTCTGGAAAATAACACTTTTCATCAGTTTAGAGTGCTAAGGCTTAAACACTCTGATAACTGTAAGCAGTTCGTGTCTCAGGTGTTCGCAAAATTGCTCAGCCAAAATCCGACACAAAAAAACAGGATTCTATGCTCCACAAGTGAATGTAGCTGAAGGAGTAGTCCGATCCGTACTGCAAATGCTCAGGGAAATGACTGAAAGACCAGCGGCAGTGGCTAAGAAGTGGTTACCACTAAGCTTTGGGATTTGAACCTGACTATGTGATGTTTGAAATACGCATGGTCACGAACGCAAGTGCGTATTCAAACATGCGATGTTTCGTCGGCATTGCTACAGCAGATCTAGCACAGTGACTTGATGACAAGATGTCAAGAATTATTCTGGGATAAAGTAAGCCAAGGATTTATTTGGGTGCACGAGAAAGCAGCAAAGAAGTTGAGTTTGCAATACGTCAGATGGTATTCTGCAATATGCAAATACATATATATAATATAATGTAAACGTCAAGGGAATTCTTTGTACGAATATGGCAACGGAGTTGCAAAAAATATCAGAGTACACGAACAGAATGACCACCCCAGCAAATTTTCCTTTAACCCAAGAGATGAGGACTCGCCTGAGCGAGCAGAGGAGCCTTCCCAATGGCGGACTGGGAATGCCAGGAGGCGGAATCTCTTCAGGATGAAAATGAGAATCAATGTTGCAGAAGTTATCTTAAGGGAGCGGTATTCGTTTTAAATATTAACTAGTAAAAAAAAATACAATACAAAAAAACACATATTGATAATAAAAAATAACCAAATCGAAATAAAAACCACATCACATTTTCACACTTCAATATATTGTATTTTTTTTAAATGTGTACATTAGTCGATTACTAATCGAGCCAGTACTAAATATTAAGCGTGAATTAATCGACCGTTGGATAATAAGTTAATTACTAATGCGTTCTTGACTTTCGTTTAGTGTGTAGATGTCATGTAACATCTTTATACCCTTGCAGAGGGTATATTGATTTCAGTCAGAAGTTTGCAACGCAGTGAAGGATACGTTTCCGACCCCATAAAGTATACATATTCAGCATGACTAAACGTGTCGATCTAGCCATGTCCGTCCGTTTCTACGCAAACTAGTCTCTTAGTTTTAAAGCTATCGGGCTGAAACTTTCCCAAGAGTCTTATTTCTTTTGCAGGTAGTATATAAGTCGGAACCAGCCGGATCGGACAACTATGTCTTAGAGCTCCTTAACATATGTTGTTGTTTTTTAACGAATAACCTCATATGCTTGGAAATAACATTTTTTAATTAGTTTTAAATTTCGAATTCAATTTTATCAAAATCGGACGACTTTATCATATGCTGCCATAGGAACGATCGGAAAATTGGTGGGAAAATAATATGAAACAAATTATAGCTTCGGTGTTTTTTAACATAAGATAGGAAGTCTTATGTTGGAAATACCATTTTTTAATTAGTTCTGAACTTCGAATTTAATTTTATCAAAATCGGACGACTATATCATATAGCCGCCATAGGAAGGATCGGAAAATTGGTGGTAAAATAATATGAAACAAATTATAGCTTCGGTGTTTTTGACATGTTATCTTATACTATTGGAAATATCAATTTTTGTATTTTTAAATTTAATAATTATAGCTGCAAGGGTATACAAACTTCGACTTGCCGAAGTTAACTTCCTTTCTTGTTTTTGTTAATTTAAGATACAAATACACTCCATATCTCTGCCTGCAGCCCAAGCAAAATTCAGACTTTGACTTTAATGTCAAATAACTGATAATTAAAATGGTTGCGAACCCATTTGTGGGCTTCTAAGATATATATATTGGCTTAGCGTTTTTCTTAATATGCCCATTTAATTGAATCCCCAAAAACTTAAGTCGCAGAAGTCTGCATACTGCTAAGAAGTCCTTATTATCTTTCACAATTTTGTGCGTGCACTCAATGTATACTTGTGTATGTGGACTGTCCCTATTGAGGCACAAGGTTAAACTTTGTTTACTTTCTTTATGTATGAACGTATGTTGAAATGCACATGCACATAAATAAAAAAAAAGGTTTTATTTTTCGCGCGGCTGGGGGAAATTTACCTTGTTTTGCTGAAGAAATCACCAGTTCTTTGCAACTTAGGTCGAAGGATCACGAATAGTTTCCAGTTGCCAATTTATGAATTCGCTTTCACACGGTGAAGGTCTTCTGGAAGCTAAGAACCCAAATGCTGGAAGCTGCTGGTACGTTGCTGGAAGCTGATGGCAAGTTGATGGAAGCTGATGGTAGGGTTTTGAATGGGGATAGTGGCTTGCTGGAAGCTGGTGGTCGGTTTTTTTTTAAAGAAGTCTAAATAAAAACTGTGAGCTTGTCGAGATGACAGTTCTGTAAAGAGACCTTTTTTTGGTTCCCTTGAAATGTCTTCTTTATTTATTTATACATTTTGATATATACCAGATTTGAGGTCGGCGCCCGGTTTGGAACGTCGGAAATTTGGTTGTGAACGATGTTTTAAGATGCAGTTGGAATAAAAAATAAAAATATTTTTTAATTTTTTGTATAGTTTCAGAGAGAAAGCTGTGCTAGGATGGAAATTAGAAAATACTCAATTTAAGGAACCATAAGCAAGCAGCAAAGCGAAATTGAAATGCACCACCTACCCGCGATCTCAATATGTGGTTATGATTTACGCGTTATGGACATTAGAGTGGGCGTGGCAATCTTTTTTTGGGTCAATGGATAGGTATTGACGAGGCTAAAACATTTCAGTTAAGATTTTTTATCTAGCATGAAAATTGTGGGAGCCACAGACTTAGGCGGCTTATGGGCATATTCGGAATCTAAATCTCAATTCTCTATCTTATATAGTTTCCGAGATATCCGCGTTCACATTTACGATTTTTTTTAATTTGTGGTCGGTTTCTTTTATTTTATTATTTTATTCTAGCATCAAAACAGTAGGAGCCACAGTCTCGGGCGGTTTGTGGGCGTTAGAGTGGGCGTGGCACCCTGCTGAAACAAACTTGCGCTACGCAGGAATTTTAGGAATCTGCATGCCTAATCCCAACATTGTAGCTTGTATAGTTTCCGAGATCTCAGCGTTCATACGGACAGACGGAAATGGCTAGATCGACTCGGCTAGTGATCCTGATCAAGAATATATATACTTTATGTGGTCGGAAACGCTTCCTTCTGCCTGTTACATACTTTCCGACGAATCTAGTATACCCTTTTACTCTACGATTGACGGGTATAATAATGTAATGTTGCTTCGTTAATTATTTTAAGTTCAGCCGCCTGTGGCGCTAAAGAAGAAGAAGATAGGTGGCGCTATAGGGTAGGTGTTGTAGTGAAAAAAACAGATTTGCTTTAAGCATATCTCCATCAATCTCGCACTCCCTTAAGCTGAGTAACGGGTATTTAATAGTTGAGGCCATCGACTATAGCGTTTTCTTTTGTTTTAAGAGTACAGTTACATTTGAATTGCATTATTGTCAAATTTCAACATTTGTTAAAGAAAAAATCAATAATTTGGATAAAGTTTTAGTGTGTATTTATCAGTTCGTCACTTTACCCTACAACTATTAGAAGTGAAAAATTATTGGCTTACGCCAAGAGCTGTAGTACTTAACTCCGCTGGAATTTTATCATCGAACTTTTACGGGAATATGCTCAATAGATGTCGGCAACTTTCTGCTTTTAAACTTTTAAAACATATTAATTTTTGAAAAAGTGGCATTCAAAAAACGAGTCGTTCATACCCTACACTCCCCTACACTAAAAGTTAATAAAAAATATGTGTCCAAAATAAATCGGTCTTGTCGTAAACCAAAAAATTGGCTATCGAAGGATACAAAAACACATTAAGTTATGGCTTTTAAGTGGCAGCCCTGTTCCTTAGATATGATGAGCTAGTAGGCCATTCGTTTTCCTGTGACAGCTGAATTATTGCAATCGGAACTTTTCGACAACGTCAAGCTCTAGCGCTTTTCTATAAAAAGTAAAAAAATCTATACAATTTCGGCATATTCAGTTAGCCACAGCCATAGCCCCAAAGAAACGCATTTCGATGATCGCACCGGGGAGCGTGGTACCGGTAGTGCAGACGACCGAGACCGCGTCCCGGCGTTCAGTTGGCACCCAAACGAATGTCCTGGCAATGGGTCCGTCGAAGCGCAAGAATGCCTTGCAGATACCGCCGTCCCAACATTTGGCCACGCACCTGATGCCGGCGGTCAATCCGCAGGCAGAACCGTTGGCCGCTTCCATCATGATATGTAAACAACCGGCGGCTTGCCCACCGTTTGTTCCCGATTTGAATGAGAAGGCCTGCCAGGCGATGGACGACGGTACTCTGGATTCAGCCGACCGTGTGATCATCCCGAATAACGGCGAGCAACCGATTGAATATCTGAAGTCCCTGATGACCAATCGAAGCGAAAATGCCGAACACTGGGATCGTAAACGTCTGGAAACTCTGATGACCCTAATCAACGACAATCCACCGCCGAATTGGCTTCTGGCGTCCCAAATGTGGCTGAAGGTCGACCAACTGGAGGAGCGTATAGAGGTCTGCGATCAGAGGGAACTGCTCAATGCCAAGAAACCTAAGATGGACGAGGAGCTGGCCAATGGTCAATACGGTGGGCAGAACGGGCAGCAGGGTGAGCAGCAGAACGAAGAGGTTCATCAGCCTTCACCAAAGACTTAGGAAATCGAGCCATATGTTCTATGCATAATTGTTCATAATTGTTATATAACACATCCATTAAATGTAAAATGAGCTTATTTACGGACTCTCTTGTATTGTCTTAAAGGAAGCGCAAGGGAGATGGAGAATGCAAGCAGCAAAGCGACTTTTTTCGAGATTTCAGGGAGCCACCTAGCGGTGATGACTTGAACAATTTTTAGGTAAATGGGCAAACAAAACTAAATCCCATTTTCACCTTACAAAATCTTTAAGACAGGGGGGAACAGTCGGACTTAAGCGTTAATAGCGTTTGTGGGTGTACCAAAGTTTTTCTAGGTCAATCGATAGGCACTCTTTTTCAAAATCGTACAGCTTATTACCTACACAGGAATATGCCTGTGGCACAGGCGTGCCAAATGAGAAAAATTTAGAAAGTGAATTTATTTAGTAGATCGTATAGTACATTTTCGTCACGAAAGTTGAGATTATTACTTTTGTATGTTGAAAGTGCGAATGTCTCTAGTTTTTTACTTCCTTAAGAGGTGTTTTACAAGATTTTGAAAAGTGAAGCCCGTTACTCGTGGAGTAAAAGGGTATACTAGGTTATCGTTGGAGCAAAATGAACTTGCGCTGCTCAAGAAGCCCAAGAATATACATACGTGCCAAGACCCAACGTTCTAGCCCTTATAGTTTCCGAGATCTCAGCGTACGGACGGACCGACAGACGGAAATGGAAAGATCAACTTAACTAGTAATCCTGATCAGGAATATATATTATTTATAGTGTAGCGCTTGCTTAAGCAGAAGTGGCTCATAGAGACACAGGGGTGGCGCCATCTAGCATTCGTGCGAAGAAATGTTCTGTAGCAGGTTTCGGAATAAGTGAGAGCAACAGGGGCAAATGTCAGGCTTTCTCGGGTCTAGTTTTTCACCTCATACTCCGGGGTTTGGGTTACCGCCTGAATTTTGGCATCAGAGTCGGTCTTTTCCGTTTTGGCAGCCTAGGCGAGCAGAAGTGAAAATTTCTCTACAAGTGTTTAATCCGCAAAGCTTAGCGCGAGTGACTAAGGTCGGCCTGTTCATCTTGCTGGGCCACCGGAAAAAAGGAGATATATTTAGGAGATTAACTACGGATTAGGCTACCAGCCGTCCTCAAAAGGTTCCTGCGCGGCCGCCGTGAATTCGAGAGAGATCTGTGGAGGTCATCCCCTATTATATTTGGAGCCGGAGAAGCTGCTCGAAAAACTAGGTCGAGAAGCGGAAAAGAGGCCCAGTTCAGGGCCCCGGCAACAGCATTGCCTTTGGGGCGATGGAAGAAGACCCGACACACATAACCATTTTCGTTTGCTAAGTTACAAATCAAAAACTTTTGCTTGGGGTTCGTTCTTCGTTTGAGCGAGAGCCAAAGGTAGTTGTTCGATCGCGCTGCAAGACGTTTGGTCCGTCGCGGAACCGCGGCGGATATTTTCTTCGTAGAGCCGTGAATTTGGCGTAAAATGCCGGAAAACTAAGATAAAATTCAAAGGGGGAAATCGGAAAAGTTAAGCCCCCCAACTTGCACCAAATTCTTACGTTCCCCAACACTGAAAATTTAAAATAATGTTTAACGGCCGCTGCTCCCGAATACCGAACTTGGGTATTAACGTTTAAAAATGTGTAAAAAATCGATTTACCAACGGATTGTAGTGATCAACTGCGCATGTTCTCCGTTAAGGTTCAGCCTTCAAGAAAACAACATAAAACTAATTTCAGTTTTTAGGCGTGTATTTTTAAAGAAGCCATTTATGCCAGCGTTTTTGAATTTTTTCCAACGTTTTCAACTTTGACGAAGGGTAGCTTCTAAACTTATGAATGGAACTCAATTATGTGTGTTAAAAAGTTAAAGGTTAAAGTTAATGCCCTTTAACTTTTTAATACACATAATTGAGTTCCATTCATAAGTTTAGAAGCTACCCTTCGTCAAAGTTGAAAATGTTGGAAAAAATTCAAAAACGCTGGCATAAATGGCTTCTTTAAAAATACACGCGTAAGAACCGAAATTAGTTTTATGTTGTTTTCTTGAAGGCTGAACCGTAACGGAGAATATGCGCCATTGATCACGACAATCCGTTGGTAAATCGATTTTTAACAGATTTTTAAACGTATATACCCAAGTTCAGTATTCGGGAGCAACTGACGTTAAACGTTATTTTAAATTTTCAATGTTGGGGAACGTAAGAATTTGGTGCAAGTTGTTATGCATAACGTCAGTTTCCTTGCTATTAGTGCTGGGCAAGCTAAAAAGTATGCGATTGCAGTTACGAGGAAATCTGGACTAAGTGTTTCTGTCTAAGGTAGCACAACCTATTGACCTAAAAATCCGATGTTAGAATCAACACTGGTACAGTGGTGATAGAAAATCAGAGAAGTCAGGATAAACTTTTATATACTATTATTAGTGGTACTTTGCACTA